GCACACGCACGCACACACGCACACACGCACACACGCGCACTCTCGTACGCGCGCGCACGCGCACACACACACACACACACGCTTACACGCACACACGCACACGCGCGCGCATGCGTACACGCACGGACGCACAGATGCACACACGCACGCACACGCACACACGCACGCACACGCGCACACGCGCACGCGCGCACACGCACACGCACACGCACACGCACACGCGCACGCACGCGAATGCTTACGCGCACGCGCACACGCACGCGCACACGCACGCGCACGCGCACACGAACACGCACGCGCGCACGCGCAGGCGCACGAGCACGCGCACACCACACGCACACGCACACGCACACGCACACGCACGCACACACCACACGCACACGCATGCGCACACGCACGCGTGCGCACGCACGCGCGCACGCACACGCACACGCGCGCGCACGCGCACGGGCGCACGCGCAACCACGCACACACGCACACACGCACACACGCACACGCACACACACGCACACACGCACATGCGCACACGCGCACACGCGCACACGCGCACACACGCACGCACGCACACACGCACGCACGCATACACACATACATACATACACGCATACACGCATACACACATACACACATACACGCATATACGCATACACACATACACGTACACGCATACACGCATACACACGTGCGCACATGCACACGTGCACAATGCACACATGCACACATGCGCACATGCGCACGTGCACACATGCACACATGCACACTCACACTTACATTCACACTCGCACTCACACTCGCACTCAGGCTCACACTCGCACTCGCACACGCACGCGCACGCACGCACGCACGCGCGCGCACGCACGCGCGCACGCACGCACGCACGCACGCACGCAACACACACATAGCACATAGCACACACAACACACACTATACACAACACGCACAACACACAACACACACAACACAACCGCACACGCTCACCCACCCACCCACCCACCCACCCACACACACACACACCGCCCACCCACCCACACACACCCACACACCCACACACCCACATGCACGCGCACACACACACACACGCACACGCACACGCACACGCACGCGCACACGCACGCGCGCGCGCACACGCAAGCGCACATGCACACGCACACGCACACGCGCGCGCACACGCACACGCACCCACGCACCCACGCACCCACGCACCCACGCACCCACGCACGCACGCACGCACGAACGCACGCACGCACACGCACGCGCATACGCACACGCACGCGCGCACGCGCACGCACGCGCACACGCACACGCACACGCACGCGCACACGCACACGCACACGCGCACGCGCACGCACACGCACACGCGCACGCGCACGCGCACGCACACGCACGCGCACGCACACACGCACACGCACGCACACGCACCACGCGCGCACGCACACGCACACGCACACGCACGCGCACACGCGCGCGCGCACACGTACGCGCGCACGCACACGCACACGCACACGCCACACCTACGCGCACACGCACACGCACACGCGCACGCGCACGCACACGCACGCGCACGCGCGCGTGCACGCTCACGGGCGCACGGGCGCACGCCCACGCGCACGGGCGCACGCGCGCGCACGCGCGCGCGCGCACGCGGACGCGCACGCGCACGCGCGTTCGCAGGCGCACGGGCGCAGCGCACGCGCACGCGCACGCGCACGCGCACGCGCACGCGCGCGCGCACGCGCACGCGCCACGCGCCACGCGCCGTGCGCGTGCGCGTGCGCCCCCCCCCCACACACATAAACACAGACAGACCGACAGACAGACAGGCGGACAGACAGGCAGACAGACAGACAGACAGACAGACAGACAGACGGACACAGACACGCACGCACACACATTCACACACAACCGCACACATTCACACACAATCACCCACACAATCACACACTCACACACACACACACACTCACACCCACACGCGTACACACATAGACACGTACACACATACACACATACACCCATACACACATACACATACACACATACGCACATACACACATACATACATACACATATGCACATACACATACACGTACACATACACATACACATATACATACACATACACACGTACACATACGCATACGCATACCCACATACACACATACACGCACATACACACGTACACACATACACACATATTCGCATACACACATACACATACACACATACACACATACACACATACACACATACACACATACACACATACACACATGTATACACACACGCGTCTCCCGCCCTCATTTTGCCACGGCGCGAGCGTTCTCTGGGGCCTCTCTGGGGTCTCTGGGCGGTATTTCTGGGACCTCCTGGGGCATTGCGGAGGCTTGTGCGGTCCCCATGGGGTCCTCTGAGGGGCCTCTTGGGGGCTTCTTGGGGGTACCTTGGGGCCTCTCGGGGGCCTCTTGGGGGCCTCCTGGGGTCCCCTTGGGGCCTACAACTCGACATGTCCGTTCGCGTCCCCTGTCTGGGCCCGCTCTTGGAGCCGTCTTGGGTGTCTTTGGGCCATCTTGGCCGCCTCTGGGCCTGTCTTGGGGCTCCCTGGGGTTGTTTGGGGGCGCTCTTGGAAGCTTCTTGGGCCGTGTTGGGGCGATTTTGGGGGTTTCTTGGGCTGTCTTGGTGCGCTGGGAAGCCGAAAAGACGGAAACGCCAAAAGTTCAAAAACCGATGGATCATCACAAATTTGTATTTCTGGAGACTCTCTGGGAAGGTCTTTTGGAGGCCTCCTTGGGGCGTCTTAAAGGCGTCTTGGGCCGTGTGGAGGCCATCTTGGAGTCTTGGACCGGTCGTTCAGTGACTCGGAGCCCTCTTGGACCGTCTTGCCTTGGAGGCCATGGGGGCCCTCCTGGAGCACTCGTAGAGCGCTCAGCGGGCGTCTTTCAGGCTACAGTCCCGCTGCTCCCATGGTACTTTTGGTCCAGGGGCTCCCAGGGGCCGCCCCGTCCGCGTGAACTACACATATTGTTATCCAATTGTTGGAGATCTTAGATATGTTGCCTTTTTTGACTCAAGTGGGTTTAGGCCAAGTGCGAATCTTGGCCTAACGCTGTGACTGCACCGCCTTCTCTTCTACAGCTTACCTCTTGCGAAGATGGCCTCGCCGACGAGGTGTGGAACTCAGTGGATCCAAAGAGGCAGCCCCAACGCCACTTGCAACGATTGCGGCTTCTTCGGCCAGACCGGAATGCTCAGTGGTAGCAGTCAGGGCGCCTCTATGACAACGTCAACCATGGATACATACGGATCTCTCGCAGCTTACCTCAACGTGGCCTCTCACGCATCATGCCAAGGTTCAGATCGCAGCTACGCGTCGTTGCCGAGCATACGCTCAGTGCCCACCATGCAGGAGGCCACCATGGAGTCGGTCCCCACCATGCAGTCTATGCCGCCCTGCCAGGAGAGCGACGGCGAGCCATGGGAGACTGACGACGAGTTCGACCACCCGCGCGGGCTCGGGCGAGCGGAAACCGGAGGCGGCTGCGCACCCGAGAACCCACCCGAGAACGGGCAGGACTCCGTCTGGGCGGGCGGCGTCGGCGCCCAGCCGGCTGCTCGCGAGCGGCCGCCGTCTCGGCCCGGAGCCGTCCAGCTCCGCGGCGTCGCCGGGGCAGCGCCGCCCCGCTCGCCGAGCCATCCGCCCGGCGTGCCGCCGCGCCCCGCCGCGGGGGCGGCGCTCGCTGGGCGGCCCCCGGGCGACTGGGCCGGGCAGGCGCAGCCCGCCCGCGCTCGGCCGGGCGTGGCCGCGCCCGGCTGGGGCCGCGCGGCCCGGGCGGGGCGGCCGGCAGGCGCAGGGCGGGCTGAGGCCGCCCGCGGCGCGCTCGCGGCCGCCAGCAGGGCGGTGGAGAGGCAGCGGGCCAGGCTCTCGGAGCAGGAGCATTCGGTGGCAAAAATCGTGGGAGTCTTTGTGTACCTCCGCAGTTCTGTCTTCAGCGTCGGTTGGCTTCTGATGGGCGTCTGGGAGTAGATGAGATAGCGGTGATTTCACGTCGGTTGGCGTCGGCTAGCGTCGATTTAGCACCGATTTAGCGTCGACTAGCGTCGATTGGCGTCGACTCGCAGGAACCGACAAGGTGGTATGGGAGGCTCCCATGAGTTGCCACAGAAGGAAGAGCTGCTGGCAGAGCTCCAGCGGCAGGCTCAGGAGATCAAGCAGAGCATTCTCCAGCAGGAGGCCGACCTGGTGGAGCTGGAGCTTCAGCAGGGTGAGCTCGTGGGCAACGTGCTGGTGCCGATCGACAGGGCAGCGCCCGCCGCCCCTAGCGCTCCAGACATCACTACGCTCATGGTCCGCAACATTCCGATGGCTGTGACGCAGAGGAATTTGCTTGACCTCATCGATAGGTCTGGCTTCGCGAACCTCTATGACTTCGCCTATTTACCAACCGACTTCGACGCCGGGACCACGAAAGGGCACGCGTTTGTCAATTTCGTCAACCCCAGTGACGCCTGGGAGTTCTCAGAAATGTGGAACGGGGCGCGGCTGACTGGGGCTGGACCCGTCGCGGCCGTTCTCGAGGTCGGAGCGTCACAGCTGCAGGGCTATAAGGAGAACGCCAGGAGGTGGAGCGCGGGCCGGCTGCGCCGCACGAAGAACCATGAGCTCCACCCGTTCATCGCCCCGAGGCTGGCTGTCGGGTGAATGTTCGGTTGCACCAATTCCTTGTTGTAGGCGTCTCGGGAGGGGCGGGGGTCAAGGGCGCCGACAGGGAGAGGGTCACGAGCTCACCTCCACTGCATCGCTCGTCTACGGGATAAGTGCCCAGAATATCTCGAGGAGATCTATGACATTGATTGGGGTCGATGTCAAGCGGTGATCCTTTCCCTCCCTCCTGTCTGGTGCTTCTGCTGTACTCAAGACGCTCGCTGCTGCGTGGACTTCGGACAGTCGCATTCAGACGCATGCACCGTGTCTCCTTGGCTGCCTGAGCTGCGCTGAGAGATTCTGGCACTCCTGGAGGTGTCACAGGTTGGCTGGTCACTTCTCGATTCCCATCCTCTCGCCTGCTGCGAGGTGCTCAACCCCTCCCATGCCTCGTTCGCCACCCCCGTCGCCGCCTGCTTCCCTCGGAGCGCTCTCCGTCCTCTCGCTTCTGCTGCCCAGCCGAGCCTTCGCCCCAGACGAGCCCAGGGCGTGGTCAGAGCTGACAGGTGTCCCGTTTGGCGGCCAACGTGCAGCGGCTCTTGTGGCTGATGAGCCAAGGTGCGCTCCCCTGGGGGCGCCCGAGGAGTTCGGCGGGGAGGAGGAGGAGGAGGAGCGGAGGAGGAGGCGGAGGACGAGGAAGACGCCACGCAGCGCGGCCCGGTTGACGACCCCGCGCCGTCGCGGCCAACAGCTGGCCCCCCACCAAGCAGGCATCCCAGCCGAGCTGCGCGAGTTGGGCCACGAGGTGCGGGGGTGGGGAGGAGGAGGAGGAGGAGGAGGAGGAGGAGGAGGAGGAGGAGGAGGAGGAGGAGGAGTTGGGAGGATGAGGAGGAGGAGGTGGGAGGAGGAGGTGGGAGGAGGAGGAGGAGGAGGAGGAGGAGGAGGAGGGGGAGGAGGAGGAGGCGGAGGTGGGAGGATGAGGAGGAGGAGGAGGAGGAGGAGGAGGAGGGAGGAGGAGGAGGAGGAGGAGGAGGAGGGGGAGGAGGAGGAGGAGGACCTCATGGGCGCGGAGGAGTGCGCTCCGCGCCTCGCGGCCCGGGGCTGCGCAGCCGCCTTCCTCCAGGGTAAGCCTCTTCGAGAGCGCGCGACGCTTTCAGGGCGCGAAAACGGGTCGCGGGGCGCGACGTTCCAGTGCAGGTGGCTGAGATTCTGGCAGCGAATGGTTTTCTGAATCCTCTTCTTTTTCACGGACCTGCACTCGCGGGGGGCTCTTGGCATCGCTCGGACGTGTGAATTTTTCCTTCGGCGAGAACCATCGAGGAGCATCCTCGATCATTTGGCGAAAACAACACGCACGAAACCGACAACAAAAACAGGAAATGGACGTCCAAGCGATGGCCAGGGACAGGTGGCCGATGCTGGCAGCGAATGTGTTTCTGAATCCGCGTTTGTTCACGGGCCTGCACCCGTGGTGTGCCGGTTCTGCCTCGTGAGCGTGACTCTGGGCGAGCAGCTCAACGGCGTTTCAAGTACTGCACGAGGGCAGGGCTCCCAGGGCTTCACTTTGTGAGCCATGGTGGAAATGTTTGGGTGGCTCCCGCTGTTCACTGGCGACTGCAGTCTCATTGCTCGTCGCGCGTCGCGTTCCAGGCTGGACATATGCCCTCATCCAAGTACGTGTAAGTTAGGCTGCCGCATTTTGGATCGAAGTATCCCGATATCATTGTTTCCGTCCGATACTGATTTTTAGGCATGATTGTGCAAACATCATAAGAGCCACTGAGTTTGCCTCATGAGGGCATAGCTCCCAGATCTTCTTTCTGCATGCGTCCGTGGTCTCGCTCCTCGCCTCCTCCTTTTGCCGCTCCTCTTTCTATGGCGGCCTGAATTCATTCGGAGTGGTCGACTCGATCGCACGGTATGTCTCTTGACACGTCGCATTTGAATTTGACACCCTCTTCGAGGACATGTGACGAGGTTTTGCATGTGGGCGCCATTGCCTGCATAGCGTCATGACGTACTTCCGTCTCGTTCCGCCTGTCATATGCCGTTTAAGCAAAACATCCACCTGCAGGAGACCATCATCCGATCTGCCGGCATCAGAAACAACTTACAGGAGATCTGAGTATGCCTCTGGCCAGTTGGGCTGGTGAATTAAAAACAGGTGTTTCGTTTCCTCGGGTTCACCTCGAGGGCCTCTCGGAGCCCTCTTCGGCCGTGCTGGAAGCCTCTCGATCCGTCCTGACGCCGCTCGGGAGCCTCGTGTGCCGTCCGGGGCCAGCTTCGACCGTCTTGGTGTCATCTTGGCCGCCTTGGAAGCCGTACTTCAAGCCAGCTTAGCCGTGTGGGGGCCGAACAACATGAGCCAGAGAGGAGTAAATTCGGGGGGGGGGAAGGGCGCTTTCAGAGGGATCCGGGCGATTACGGCCTGGGGAGGATCGGCGCTAGAAAACATTGACGCCATCGAAGCCCTTTCAGGCAAGAGACGGGCCTTCTAGCACGCCCATTCGGTGCAGGCATGGTGGCGGATTTCTTGCGCCGAGGAATGAAATATAGGGCGCCTGCAGCTGCGGGCAAGAGAGTGGGTGCAGTGGACGCCCCTCACTTGCAGGGTTGGAGCCAGAACCGCTACGGACACACCGCTCCCTGTTGAGCGAGATCCTTTGCGTTCCCCCCCAACGTTGAAGCATTAGGAGGGGGGCATTGGGATGATGGGGAGGGGCAGGAGGAGGCTGAAGAGGAGTCTGGGGCTGCTGCTGCTGATGATAAGAAGGATGATGATGATGATGATGATGATGATGATGATGATGATGATGATGATTATGATTATGATTATGATGATGATGATGATGATGATGATGATGAGGAGGAGGAGGAGGAGGAGGAGGAGGAGGAGGAGGAGGAGGAGGAGGAGGAGGAGGAGCAGGGGGGAGGAGGAGGAGGAGGAGGAGGAGGAGGAGGAGGAGGGGAGGCTGAGGAGAGGAGGAAGCAAACGAGGATGCGGAAGAGGACGAGGAGGAGGAGGAAGATGAGGAGGAAGAGGAAGGGGAAAAAGAAGAGCCCGAGGCGGACTGAGGCCGGAGGAGGGAGGAGCAAGGAAGGAGGAGAGAGCAGGGACATGGAGGAGGAGGAGGAGGAGGATGAGGAGGAGGAAGAAGAGGAGGAAGAAGGGGGAACATGGGGGAGAAGGTATGGGGGAGATGGGACGATGGAGGATAAGTAAGAGGATGAGGAGCAGGAGGAGGACAACGACGAGTAGGAGGATGAGGAAGGAGGAGCTCTCGGAGGAGGTGGTGCCTCTTCTGACGTCGCGATTTTCAGCGACGCGGGCCACCCCCCTGGGGATCTCGACCGCCGGTTTCCCATCCTGTGTCTGTTTTGTTGATGGCCCATGTGCTCGAAGGGGGCGCAATTAGACGCTTTGGGCGATGGACAAGCGGCGATGCTCGGTCTCCTCGTGGCGCCGGGACCCGAGGGTTTCTCAGCGGTAAGCTGCCTATGCCCCAGATCCTGATTCCCAGATGTCTTCTTGGGTTTTTCAATGTTTCTGTGTCCTCGACTTTTCGAGACTCTAGCGCTCCAAGACGGCACAATATACCCCCAACGCCGCCTCAAGTTGGCCTAATGGGGCCCCCAAGAGGGCCCCCAGCCCGTCCAAGGGGGCTCCAAGACAGCCCCAGAGGCGCCCAGGACGGCCCAAGTGGCCCCAAGACAGCCCCAACCAGAGCCCAAGGTGGGGAACAGGACCGCTGGAGGCACCCAGAGGCCCAGAAAGATGGATGAGCGTCAGGAAATTGTCTAACGGCGTTCAGCCCCCTGCGCTGGATCCTCGAGGGTTCGGGCGGAGATGCACTCAGATACTTATATTTATACACGTATACAAATATCTAGACACACACACACACATACATATATATATATATATATATATGGAGAGGGGAACGCTGTGCGGACTGTTTTGCAGTCCGCACAGTGTCAAAACTTAACGTTTCACCGAGGCGAAGCTATCACATTGTATAGAAACCTATCACAACACACTGTGTGTTGCTATGTTGTTGCAAAGCGCACGGCAGAGAAAGAATCAACGTACAACATAAAATTACCAATCAAGCATTTTAAACTAACACGCAAAACAAAATAAACAATAATCGGTATACTTGTTTTTTCGCTAGTGCCATTACGGAAATGCTATCTAATTCGCACTTAGAGAACCGATAATGAAACTCGTTGTTACTGCAATTCTGTGGTTTCACACAGAAACCAATCAGTTGAATTAAAAACAGAAGGTCAAGAAAAAAAACATGTTTTTCACAGGTTTTCTTGTTTACCATTTCCAATTGGACGTGCTACATAATTCGCACTTAGAGAACCGATAGTGAAACGCGTTTTTACCACAATTCTGTGGTGTCAAAGAGAAAACATACGATTTTCATAAAAAAAACAAACATAAGGTCAAGAACACATAGTATGTTTTAACATATTTTCTTGTTTATCATGTCCAATAGGAAGTGCTGTATACTTCGCACTTAGCGAACCGATAGTGAAACGCGTTTTTACCACAATTCTGAGGTTTCAAACAGACAACAAACGATTCTCATATAAAACCATAAGATCAAACAGCCATAGTATGTTTCTATAGCTTTTCTTGTATACCATTTCTAAAAGGAGGTGCTATATAATTCGCACTTTGAGTTGAAACGCCATCTCTTGAGAATTCTCAGGTTTCAAATAGGAAACCACATACTTTCATTAACAACAGAAGGTCAAGGAACAACTAGTATTTCTTAAATGATTTTCTTGTTTGCCATTTCCACCAGGACATGCGATAGATCGCCAATTCTAATAGTCTGAGGGTTGGCGGAATAGCATCGGCCTTCTGCATATTAGATCTGTTACATGGGTGTAATCTCTTTTTGCGCAGCGTTTTGTCTACGCATCAGCAAAGTCTCTTGTGCACAAGTCAAATTGCGTGACAGCAATAACATCATCAATACAGCAGACATGTTGCAATCGTAATATACTCAATCCTCTGCTTTTTGGTTCGCCGTCTTTCTGGC